GGAGAGACATGCTCACGTTAGTTGTGCCAGACATTTATGGAGGTGCAGCCGGTGATCAACGACCTAATTTGCGAAAACTTCTAGGAGGTTGACATGCTCCTTGGACTTTTACCATCATAAATTACAAAAGCGGTATTATGAATTTTAAAAACTGTTATCTCCACTGTAGAAACTATGTAAATTATTAGTTAAATGATACTCATTTCGAAATTCCTACATAATTTTTTTTGATTGACTAGAAGAGTAAAAAATCAATGTAATGTAGTATAATTAACCTCCACAATCAGACTCAGAAAAAAAAAAAAGAGAAAAAATCGAACTCAAATTTTAATTGCCTACTTTCTCCTACATATGTTTTGCTTTCTGTTTCTCTATCTTCAAGATGCCTGAAAACAACATCTATGTTGATAATTTCCAGACCATGTTTGGCAAAGCTTAAAATCTATCTAATAAACAAAGCAATACAAAATAAGTAATAAAGGTCATAGTCGGGTTTCTACAAGTAATAATTTAATTAGACCAAAATAGGTTAAATAATTTGCAAAATTGCGTTGCAAAACATATATGAAACTAAAAAGAAACATAATTTTCCCCAAAATAACACCATGTAATCGCATGCTATTCATTTGTATGATCGCAATGTCATTTCCATGTTCCTCACTATTTTTCCTAAACATACCTTTACGACCGTAAAGGGTTTTGTACCTTGTGATCGCAAGGTACGTCTTTTATTTTCGTTCTACAATTTGATCACCGGTTGCACCTTCATAAATGTCTGACACAACTAACGTGAGCATGTCTCTCCCTTGCATATGTAAAATGTTGTCATTGGTTCATCTGCCGACAGAATTTGCATTTGGTAGAAAGCAGTTTTCCCATAGTTTATGCAAGACATGTCGCTGCACGTAGAATTAACTCTAATTAACCTCCAAGTCTTTCCAGCAGGATCAAGAATAATAAAAGCTAATATCATATATATGTTCATCTCATCAGTACGTAACCATTATTTTCTTGTTGTGGCATCCTTGATGACCCATAGATATTGAGGTTAAATAGTGTTAAGAGATAAAATCTCACATCGAATAAAGATGAAAACATAGACCAATTTATAAGAGTTTGAGCTATTCCTCCTAATAATGTTGACCTTTTAAGATGGAACCCCAAATTTTAACAGTTTTCGACACTCAAAATTTT